ATCAATCTTATGGAATGCATTCTAGCAAGATAAAAATAATCTGAACCTGACAGAATTGAGCGTAATGTCTGTAAATTTCGCTGTTTTCATCTTGGTCACCGAGGAGAGTACCACCATACCAACCATTGGCTTCATTGGTTGATGTAATCGATAGATACCTATAAAATGAAACAACTGCAACAAGTGATTTGATGCACTGGCGAGTGGCGACAAAATCTGGGTGTTGAAAATACCAACAAATTTGGTCAATAGTTGAGGGTTTCATTCAGTAATGAGTTTGCTAATAATAACCAGAATTTCAAACTTGCATTCTGAAGGATGTTTACATTTCAAAGAGAAGAAAAAAGAAATCAGTACCTTTGGAAGATATCTTCTTGATGACGGTCAGACTTAGAAAGCCAGTCCAAGTTGCAGAAATCGTTGACTCTCTCAGTCGAGGTTACTCCTTTCTCACTATCGTCTGCACCAGATTTTGTGGCAGAACTACTCTCTTCGGGCTTTCTTGAACCAAACAGCCAATTGGGGCTCTTGAGCTGAATCTCACTGCAGATAGAAAGTCAAGAAAAATAAGCTAAGATTCGGAAAAGTCGTGGTGTGGTTTGAGCTGAAAGCTATGTTCTTTTCTGTATTAGAAACTATCTTTCTACTTTCTTAAAGGGATAAAGTCATAAAAGTCATTTCAAATGAGGATCATTACGCTGCATCAGGAGCCACACCAGTGCTTCCAGTGTTGCCACCTGGCCTTTGGTCTGTCTCACTACAAAGCCTCACGTTCTTTATTGAACTGCATGTCTGCTCTATCAGTTTGTCAAACGATGTTAGCTTCTTCCGCGAGAAGTCGTCTCTGAAAGCTGGCACTGGTGCAAGATTGACACCAATACCACTCATAGGTTTAGCAGTGGACTGGACCCTGCATACACCTAAAGTTAGATATCATACAGACCAGAGGTTATGATCTTTCTTGGGAAATTAAATTTAACATCTTTGGTATTGCACGAACTGGTTCACAAGTCCATTAAACTTGGCGTCCAGTTTCAGGCACGGTTCAAAATTTTATTTGCATCTAATGAAGACCCATAATCTGACACGCACTAGGTTCATTAAATGTAAATCTTACCCGATATCTGGGAAAATATCATCTCCAATCCCTGAAACATGGAGATAATAATCAGAATCCAGCTCCCAGAGCGCAGGTTTCCCTTCCTGAGGTTGAAAGTAGCCCAAGAATCTGCTCAGGATAAAGGTCATTAGTTACTAGGACTTGAGATTCAATAGAAACGAAAGAAGAAAAAAAGAGTTCTTAGCCAACTATTCCTCAGACAAGTCAATATCTTGGCAGTTACTATTATTAGTAATGCCAGGGTTCTGTTGCCTCTTATCATAAATGAAGCAAGAACTCAGAGACTTATCCTAAAAGCCTTCATACTATTGCTACATCACTGGCAAACTACAAGTAGTAAAGACTTAGCAAGAAACTGAAGTGACTTGGGCAAGAAAGGGAAGTTTATTACAAGTTTATGGCGTCTTGCTTTTCGCCATCGGTGTAGGTATTGCTGTAGTATCGTTTGATAGACTTGAGAAACTCTCTAGACTGTGTTGTGGCCTTCCATTTCCCCTGCCTTTCTGGGAAAACCTATAATGCATTCAACAATGTTACTGAATAAGCATTGCAAATGTTGTTTTGTCAAGAAGTGGTCAAGTAGTATTGTTACAGTGTTATGAGCAGCTGAGCCGCCATATTGTTGTGCAAGGGCATCTCCCATGCTCTGGTACATATCCATAAGTGCAGCAGCTATGCTACTGTCAGGATCGATCTTAGGTGTATCGCTCAAACCCATTGCATGCAGCTGCCGGCCTAAAGCAGCCAAACCATATGCATACTGTGCTACATTTGTTCGATCCAAGCAATCGATGCAGTTAGTACGCAGAACACCACTTTGGTAACGCGGAGCTGAAGAATCAGTTTCCTCGTCTTTTTTTTGTTGGCTTAGCTTCATCTCCTTCTCTCGATTAGCAAGAGCACTAAGTATATCATTTGAACTCTCACCCCTTGAAAGTTCTGCAGAGTAAGCTCTGAGATCACGTAGAGAAGGTTCCCTGCAGTAACTATCTCTATTACAGCGAGAAAGGTAACTAATAGCTCCAGTTTGTAAAATAATATATAGCAGTTTACAAAACAAACCAAATTTCTGACTAAATATAAGTAGCAGATCATATCATCAAAAATATTACCTTCCAGTGCTAGCATGACTAAGTTGTTTAGCCTTCTTCTTAACAATTTTAGGCTTGCCACTGAAGTATAATCCAGTCAAATCAAGGGCTTCGCTTGCTACAGCACCCAAAACAGCCAATACATTCGCCGACTTGCTATAACATGAACAATAGAATGCAATGTGAGTTCAGACTATAAGGTGGGAAAACAACTCCACAACATTTTACCTCTTTGCAAATTTATGGAAATCCCAGTGGATGAATTTGAGATGATTTTCTTCACGAAAAATTGAATTTAGATAACCCACTGCATTCGCAAACTCACGTCTTAGCACCATTTCCCTAGGCCTTTTCTCAACTGTCTGAATATTTCCATGGATATTTATCAATAAGTAAAAATGACATAACCATCTCTTGCTAAAGAAGGACAATAATAATAATTAAAAAAAGTAACCTTAATTAAGTTGAGCACAATGATCGGGTTCCCATATCGATTCACCAGGTCTTCAAAATGCATTTTGGTTGACTCATATGTAGGATCATACCTCTGTACTGAGGCCAAAACAACAGAATTAGAAAATCAGGAGTCATCCATAAGAAGCAAGTAGATCAATAACCACATACACATTAAATGATCTTATATAGATAACAAACGCATGTTAGGTTAGTTTCTCACAGAAAATATCAGGCTTAGGACTAAATCTGGAGGCCTCTTGCGACCAAAAGAGTGGAATTGACCCTCGCATCTGCACCACTGAGCTCATTTTTCCTTTGCATGATCCAGCTTCATCATCAAGAACAAGTTGTTCTGTTTCAACATCATTTGCAACCCTTCCACGATCATTCACTCCCCTTTTCAAGTAACTGCAATGAAATTTGAACAGAATGAAAAGGGCTATATATATTTTACAGTAAACAAAAGAGACAAGCATCCAAACTAGTCTAGAAAAGTTCACATCACTCAATATATTCACCCTAACCAAAGTTCCTAAAGATAAAAGGTATAAGTAAGAAAGGGAATTAGAAAATTGAAACGGTCACCATGAATTTGTCATCCATTAGAGGCCTGATAAGAATGAATTCTTACCGTGTGCCTGCAAAATGTCGAGAACGCCTAGAGACTAGAGTAACACTGAAGTCTCTTCCATATATTGATAGTCTTATCTGAATGATGGGGAAAAATAGTTAGAACCATTTTAACACCAGGTGCCAAACCTAGGAGTGAATCCCCAAGACAATACCTGCTTAAAATGCCCATGAACTAATGCCAGTGTCCAAATAGTGTTGTTGCATCTTGATCGAATAGGCTGCGTCAGATACGAATTCCATACGAATATGTTATCATAAGGCATCCCTTCCTCACCAGATGATAGAACATTCTTTTGCAAGCTTTGCATTATAGGATAAGTGTAACTGTAGAAGAAATCTTTTGTCAAATCTACACTTGACAGAAGCTTCTTGTACCTGCAAATAAAGGAAAGACACAAAGAACTTTGTAAAATTATATAAGGTGAAATAAGAATATAAAAGTGGGACACGCCTTAGTTAAAAGTTGAACTTCAAAAGGGAAATCAAAATTCTCAGAAACAGACCTTAGTTCAGTTTTGGAATTCGCAACATCAGATTGAATAGTTGCATGTGGAACACTGATCATTTGACTTTCATCAATAGCATATATCGCATGCCCGCATATACATCCAATCTGCCGGCGTTTTGTCACCAAAATTAAATAGTAAGACTCCATAAACTTAGCACAACCTAGAAGCCAAAAATTTCACTCAACTCAGTTCACTACACAAGATCCAAAATATACAAACAAGACAAGCATTGCTTCCCCACGACTAACCAGCAATTCCATAGACTTTGGCCACAAAAGCCAATCCTCCCGTGGCACGATTGCCTTCGGCGATACGCTGAAGCAGACTCTTGATCTCTTGAGGCGAATATACAACAGGATCTTCACTAATGTTAAGCTCAGATGGCTCTGAACGATCAATCTTCAACACTCTGAAGAATCGTTTATTCCTATCACTCCCCACTAGATAAAACCTCTGTACAAAAAAAAAACATCACAAGCAATTCAATCTAGGGTTTCCTTAATGATTCCAATCATCCCAACACACATTTGTCGCATTACAGAGTGCTTAAGCGATGGTAATGAGAAACGATAGATTTTTGATGCAATCTTCCTCACTACTCTTCAGAATCAACAATTTGTGAATCGATGAAACTTACCGCTCTGGTTTCGTAGAGTTTGAATTTCTCGAGGGCGTACGAATCGGGATCGGACTCTGCATCGTTGGACGGTTGAATCTTGGCGAAAGAAGAGAAAGTAGAAGTCGTTGAGTTTTCCGATTTCGCCATATTGGATCAATCTATCTCGTGAAACGATCAGATACTCTGAAGCCGGCGATGGTTTCAGGCGATCATTTTGCGATCGGAAAATGTTCGGAAGATAAGGGGTGTTTTCGTACTTTTCTAGTTTAGGCTCGTGCGTGATCCTTTGTCCCTTTCTTTATTTTCAAAAATAATACCTTTCTGTTAAATTAAAATTGGACAAAATTATTTAAAAAATATATATTATACGTATATATATTTATAACTTATAAAATTTGTTACATAGTAAAAAGAAAAATTAACATATTCAGAATTCAGATTTATATTTTGTATGCATAAAGTGAAATTTATTTGAATCTATACTGTTTAGATACATGATTATTAACCTTTTAATTGTTAAATAAAATTTATTCTTTTTTACTATTTTAAAATATAGTATGAAATTGTGACTGATTTTGTTTCAATTGATATTTGTAGGGTCTTGTGGCTTCTTTCACTTATGTATTTTAAGTCAATAATCCTCGTCAACATATTCCATCCACATGATCCGTTTCAATATCCACACACCACACCACAACCAAGCAAACTCTTTAGCTTTCTCCCACCATCCATATTCACTATCACATGTATGCATAGATAGATATACATAGGTAACTAGCTTACTTCCTAGTTCTAACAGTTTTGACTTTTGAGTTACAAAAATGTTGAAATTTCCACTTTGTTGCAGTGAGTTATCTTTAGAACCCAAGGTTCTAGCTTTTGAAAGACAGCTTGTTTCGGGGCGACGCGATTCCATCAAAGTTTCTGCGGGAAAAATCGGAAATTTCTCTCTTGGTTCGGTAAGATTTCACGACATCCATATAGCATATGATGTTATCATCGTCAATGAAGAGTTTTGTTAATTCTTCAAAAGGTTTTATGTAAACAGATATTCAAAAGTTGCGAGACTTGTGGAGCCAAAGGAGCAATTGAATGTCCCGGTTGCAAGGTACTAATTTGATTTTCATTAGTAGATACTATGTAATAATATCTTCCATCAAGTGAGTCTATTTCTTTTGGTGTATATTCAATCTTACTTTGTTTTTCCAGACCATACTTATTCATTTTACTCTTTTTTACTCTATATTTATGCATATACTTACTTTTTATCCCATTTAGCATATATAAAGACAAAATTCTTATGTTGCCTCCAGGGAACAGGTAAAAATAAGAAGAACGGAAATATGTTTGAGAGGTGGAAGTAAGTAATAACTAACACTGTAACACAGTTTTAAATCAATCAAATTTTTCCAGTTCAATGAGTACTTAAGGAGAGTGTTAAGTGTTAACTTGGGATTTTGAAAATGTGCAGATGTTTTGATTGTCAAGGATTTGGTATGAAGAGTTGTCCTAACTGTGGCAAGGGAGGCTTGACGCCTGAACAGAGAGGGGAACGATAGAGTTATACTACTATTTGTTTCTCTTACATAAGTTAAACTTGTGATATAAACATGTCTCTCTTACATAAGTTAAACTTGTTATATAAACATGTCATAAAATATCTTTTCCATAGAATGTGAATTGCATTTAGGCTATTAACATTACTAAATGTAGCAAACACAGAGATGAAGTGTGTTGCATAGAATTAGAGAACTGCATTAAAAAGCGTGTAGAAATGAGAAAGCGATATTAACACGTTTTTGAAAAATTAATCACATTGTTGAGATAACATAAAATAGTAACACTTATTGTGCTTCCAAACCGGAAATGAAAGTTTGAGTTGGCTTCTAACACGAAAACAAGTTTTTACATTTGCGCTTCTGATATGTTATCTTTCTTTGAATCGCGGTTTCGTCTTGTTCTTTTGTGCATGTGTGGGGGAGCCTTCGATTCCAATTCTGAGAAAAAACAATGAATGGACCTCAAGACGAATCTTTCTTAGAACGTAGTAAATATTCACAAGCAAGACGTGACATTCTCAATTCATGTTAGCCATTAGCCAATAGCTAGGATGTAGAAGTTTGTCCAAACGTTTGGCATTTGGCGTTGCGTGAGGAAATGAGAAGCTTTGCGGTTAGCCATATTGGGCCTTGCCAGTAACAGCCTAGGCCCATGATCCTTATGCTTTGTCTGAATTAGTCATATAGCTTATGGCTCCCATAAAACATTGAACAGTAGCTAAATACTTAAATTACGTTGAACAGTAGTTGGATTGTACAGGATTTCTATATTAGAAAATTTTGTTAATGAGAAAGAAAAACAGAATTAGAATAAATGAAAAAAAAAATGTATTGTTAGTAAACCTATGAAAGCTTAGATTGTGTTACATCACTGTTGTAAAATTCAACTCTCTTTAAATATTGACAACAATTCTGATAACTTCTGCCAAAGTACAAATGACTAAAATGCGTATGGGCCGTGTAAGACAAAAACATTAACATTTATACGATCTATGCGATGAATTTATCTAATCGCCTTTTATAGCAACGTTATTCCAATTTCCAAGAAAAATCATCCCATGTTGATACCGTTTAAATACGTTAGAGCATGTTTATCAATAAAACTCTACGAGTATCACAAGCATTATTTAATATTAAATTAATTAATTGTTTAATCAATGTCGAATGAAACCGTATCAGAAGTCTCTACCCACTGAACCGTTTCAGCCCAATCTCAACCCAAAATGAATTTTTTTAATATTTTTCATGGGCTGATACCCATCAAATATCATGGATAAACATGCTCTTACAAGTTAGTAATTTTAAAGTATTTTTTAATTGGACCGTTGTTGTAATGTGAAATTCCAAAAAAAAAAAATTAAAATATCTTTAAGTAGTTAAGTTAATTTGACTCTGCTTTTCTCACCAAAATTCGATTCTATTAAATCGCACTATCCCGCATAATAAAAATTAGCTATGAATTGTGCATTATCAATCCAAATATGTAATTAAAAAAAAGAAACAGAACAGTAGAAAAAAGACCAAGTACACATGCCCAAACCCAATAATTCAGTTATCCAACTAATCTAAATAATATTAATTTTTTTATAATTGAGGGGACAAAGAGAGAGAGAATGTGATAAAATCATAAGAAAAGACACGTGGAGGTACATGAAGGAAGTAGCGTGTGGAGAGAGTGATTGGAGAAGAGAGAGAGATTAAAAAAGACAGCTACCTACTCATCTTCCCAATCTATCTACCTACTTTCTCCCAGATCTACTTTTTTTCTTTCTTTTTAACATTTTCCCAAAAGTAGGTTAGGGTCTAATTTTTTTTAATCATGCAGTAAACAATTGTTTAATTTAGTTGATGCAATAAGAATGGTTACAATATCGTGACTAAAACTTCAAAAACAAATTATTACAGAAACAGAAATATATATCAAATATACTAAAGATGATATAAACTAATAAGTGAATTTGACTATGTTTTTTTTTAAGCCTTATTTGATAACGGTTTTTCCTTCCTTTGTAATCAATTTATACGAAATTTGTATGTGACTATCTTTTCTTTGATGCAATAAGAATGGTTAAAAATAGTGATATTGAGAGATTTGTTGTAATGTTGTGGAATTTGTAAAATGATTATGATATTTTTTTTTTTGGGCTAATGATGATTCTAAAAGAGCCAAAAAGTCAATAACCAAAACCGTACGATCTACATCTCAGAAAACAAAAACAAAAAAAGTTAGGAAACTCCCACGTTACTCCTGTGAGTGTACTACAATCAAATTTGTGTTTTCTGGTTGTTGTTACAATATTCTCTAGACACACATCATTTCATTTGTTAGATCAAAATTTTTCTTTAGAAAAAAAACTTTGGTATTAAAATAATGTTAGTTAGTTTATTATAAATAACATTCAAAACGAAAACATCATCCTACAGGAACTCTCTTCCTTCAAAAAAAGAAAAAAAAAAAATTCCTCTTCCTCCAAATACATACATACACATAGAGATACATACATATATAGAGATCAAAAGATGGGAAGATCACCATGCTGCGAGAAAGCTCACATGAACAAAGGAGCTTGGACTAAAGAAGAAGATCAGCTTCTCGTTGATTACATCCGTAAACACGGTGAAGGTTGCTGGCGATCTCTCCCTCGCGCCGCCGGTACATATATACACATCCTCTGCTTCTATATATACAGAGACAGATAAAGATTTGGCTTTATGATTAAAATTACGATAATTTTGCAGGATTACAGAGATGTGGTAAGAGTTGTAGATTGAGATGGATGAATTATCTAAGACCAGATCTCAAAAGAGGCAATTTCACTGAAGAAGAAGATGAACTCATCATCAAGCTCCATAGCTTGCTTGGTAACAAGTTAGTCTCTTTCTCTCAAAATTACATTTTTTAAAAATGGGTTTTGGAAATTTTGTGAAAAAGTCTAAAACTTTGGGAATTTTTTGTTGTTGTAGATGGTCTTTAATAGCTGGGAGATTACCAGGAAGAACAGATAACGAGATCAAGAACTATTGGAACACACATATCAAGAGAAAGCTTCTTAGCCGTGGGATTGATCCAAACACTCACCGTCTGATCAATGAATCGGCAGTAGTGTCTCCGTCGTCTCTTCAAAAGGATGTCGTTGAGACTTTAAATCTCGATTTTGCCGGAAAGGTTAAACCGGAACCGGTACGGGAAGAGACTGGTGGTATTAATAATTGTACGAGTAGTGGAACGACTTCGGAGAAGGATTACGGGAACGAGGAAGATTGGGTGCTGAATTTGGAACTCTCTGTTGGGCCGAGTTATCGGTACGAGTCCACTCGGAAAGTGAGTGTTGTTGACTCGGCTGAGTCGACTCGACGGTGGGGATCCGAGTTGTTTAGGACTCAGAGTGATGCGGTGTGTTTGTGTTGTCGGGTTGGGTTGTATCATAATGAGTCGTGTCGGAATTGTCGGGTTTCTGATGTTAGAACTCATTAGAGACTCGAGAATTCTTTAGGAATCTTTTTATATATTTAGATTGTTAATTGTGCTTCTTTTTTTCTTTCACATTTGTTATGTAACGCTTCAAGTAAGAAACTAGGATAATTATTTGATGGCAAAAGCCAAAAGTGTAGAATCATTTTTAACTATTACTAGATTTTAACCCGCGGTACACCGCGGGGCTATATTTTCTTAAAAAAATCAAAATGTAATTTGTTTGATAGATTATTTTGATTGTTAATTTTAGGATTTCACCCGTGGTATACGATCTTTTATAAATATCAACCCAAACCCGTCCCATCATATTACCCGTCCCGTGAAATTAAACATTATTTAGTTATTTTTCTTTTTAATAATACTTTTATTTAAAAGCTAAATAATTCAAGTCAATTTAAAAATTTCTTTTAAATGGTTCCCATAAGATATATATACATATATATTAAATTTGTATAGAGTTGAAATAATATTAATATTACAAATTTTTTATATAATTTAAATATTATAAATATTTTTAAAAATATGTAATATATATTTTTTGTTATTGAATAAGAGGATATTATGTGTAAGAAATGTAGAAAATAAGAGTTTAATATTTTTATTATGGAGTCGCAAAAAAATCTTTTATTTCTATACATGTTATTCATTTATTAATAATAAAAGAAAACAAATCCTTTAAATTAGATATTAACTAAAATAAACGCACCATAATTACTTATTAAGTAACAACCAATAAATTTCACCAAAAAATAGGTAACAACCAATAAATTCTAAACACAGTAATTAAAGAATGAGATATTAAAAAAAATATATCAAATAAGATATAAGAATCTTAAAATAATTGAACATCTAAATAATTTAATTGTTAGTGTCGATTTTAATGCCTTCATTAATGTGGATTTTTTTTTTTACAGAGAAATATTTCCTAAAGATTATCACATTAATGACTCAAAAAATTAAGGAAGATATGAATTTATGATTCTCGAAATCGTATTGGTAATATCTTTAAGTAATATTTTTCAAATTTAAATAATTAATGCCAATGGCATTCATCCGTAAATAAGGTCCAACTCCAGGATTTATTTGCTAAAAGTCATTCAAAAATGTATATATAGATAAGATTATGCGCAAAGAAATTATAAAAAGAATTTCTTAAATGTATATTTATTTGATGTGTTTAAATCCATATGTGTAAATTAATGGGTTAAAATATTTCGAATTTTTTTAGGGCACGATGCTAAAACGGTAATTCTTATAAATAACATAGCAAATTATTTAATTTTCATACACTTTATTTGTGATTAATCTTGGACTCTTGGTATATGATACTTCATATGTTTTAATTTTAAGAGTGTTTTTTTTTTGTTTTGTTTCATAATGATGGAATGTTTTTTAATTTCTATGTAAAAATTGAATGTTTTCATTTTCTAATTTACCTATGTCAATTGAATTCTGTTGAATGTAAACATTAATGAAATTACCAAATTCAAGTGAAATCAAATTTTGCATTCAAATAGTTTCTTAAAACATGTAATAATTCCAAACCATTTAACTTAAAAATACGAGGACAATTACAATATATACCTTCCATGTCATTTTCACATGAAAAAGTGAGTAAATGCTTTATTTGTTTCATTACGCAGTCATGACTAATATGTAT